AGTACACGCGACCCTTAATAGATAATCGGATATCACGGCGGCACCATAGGTGGCGTAAGTTGGCAAAAGCCAATCGAGCCTTTTGTATCTGTGCAGAGATTTCATCGGCAACTGACCCACCAGGGCTGATCCTACTTCCCAGGTAAGTGAAGTGGTCGACACACTCAACCACTACACTTACTCTTTATTGTTAGTCGAGGCACCGTTGAAGGCCAATCCTGGAACAACAAATCGCATTTGGGTGGTGAGAAACGCATCCCAAACATTCTCAAATTCCCACTCAAAGTGTTCAGAAGACTCTGCATCTTGTCAGCATCTTCACCTAACAGGACTATGTCATCTGCATATTCTAGGTCTAATGAAAATTCTCCAGCGATTAGGTCGACGTCTGTGTAACCTGGTGACGGGAGGGAGATGTACATAAGAATATCTATGATAAAATTGAATAAGAATGGAAAGTGGGCACCCCTGACGGACACCACTCGATGAGCACAGCTCACCTGACATCTCACCCTAGGCTCTAACAAGCCCTCAAGTATTCCAGTAGAGAGCCTTTAATAAGGTGATGTACTTACTCGACATGCCTTTCAGTGAGAGACATTGTCATAAGACTTCTCGATCAACGGAGTCGAATGCCGCCTTCAGATCGGGAAATACAGCTATTGTCGGGCGTCGATAAATGAGTCTGTGTTCCAAAACCTGGCGCACAGTGTGAATACTTGGTCGGTACATCCGCAGCCGGGTCTAAAGCTTGCCTGGTTTCCTCAAACTTGCTGTTCACGAGCTCCACTCAGGCGTCGAAGAATTATAGGACCTAGGTAGCATCTTGTACACTATGTTCGTCAGGCTGATTCCTCTGTGGTTATCACAAGAGGACTTCTTGCCTTTCTTGAAGACTGGGATAATCAGTGACCTAGACCAGTCAGAGGGGATCGTATTTGATTCCCATACACCAGTTAACACTCCAGTTAGCCTGACTAAGAACACCTTACCACCATCCTTGTATACCTCAGCAGGTAGTCCGTCTGATCCTTCTGCCCTTCCTCGTTTCAGGTTACCTACTGCTTTTTCGACTTCTGCTAGTGTTGGGGGGCCTATCTCTATGTCCCATTCAGGATCCGACTGAATAGCGAACAACGCAATGGTCGTTGGAGGCCAGTTAAACTGTTTCTCGAAGTGTTCTGCCCATCGTTCCAGTCGTCTCCCCTGCAAATGGATCGCAGACCCGTCCCTCTCCGCTATAGCCTCACTAACTGTTGTTGATCTTTTCCCCCAGTCTCCTTAATAAGTCGAAATAACTGTCTGCTGTTACCAATCTCCGTTGCCTTTTCCATCTCTTTAGTCTTCGCTGCCCACCACCGTTCGCAGTCATTGCGTAGACTTTTGCTCAATCTACTTTTTAGTTGCGCCCGCTCTTCATTGTACTCGGAGCCTGCGGGAATGCGTTCACGTGCATCCATTAGTTCGGAAGAAGCTGCTGATATCCACTGGCTCTTTTGACCCACTATTTCGGAGTCGGCTACGGTCTTCAGCGCTGCTTAAACAGCAGACTGAAGATGGCACCAAGCTTCTTCTGGATGAGTGATAGTCTTCGGTCCTGATAACTGCCTAGCCAACTTCTCACTGAACACGGCTTTGGTGTTTTCGTTGTCCAGAAGCACTCGTAGTGGTTTTCTTGCCAATTTTTTTCTACGTCCATTGAGACGCAGGCATATACGTGTTCGGACTAACGCGTGATCGCTGTCCAAGTATGTACTCCAGAAGGAGCGGCAGTCTTACACCGATCCTCTCCAGCGATGACTAATGGCAATGTCGTCTATCTGTGTCCATCGCTGAGTTGAGGTCGGTGGACGCCACGTCAGATAGTGTCTCTCTTTATGTCTGAAATTGGTGCTGGCTAAAAATAGGGGGTTATCTGAGCACAGTTGTAGTAGGCGATCACCGTTATCTGTACGTTCAGCTGCAACTCCGGAAGTGCCACCTAAGTGCTTTTCTGCCTCACTCAGTCTACCCACCTGTGCGTTGAGGTCACCTGCAACAACCACCATGTCTGAACGTTTGGCTTTCGAGAGGAGGCTAGACAGCTCACGGTAGAACTCGTCCTTCACCTCATCCGAACTACAGTCAGTTGGCGCGTCACTTTGAAATACTAGATCCAGTGAATTATTATTAATTGTCCCCTGGGATCCAAGTGAAACATAGGGCTTCTACTGAAGCCATTGCACTCCGTTCTCTGCAGTATTTTCAACCTGACTCCACGAAGGCCCACAAGCTTTCATTTCCTCCTCACATCATCTCCTCCATGTCACCCTCAGCTGGGACACCCAACTCATCTTTTCCCATTTGGGTTCCACTTGACAGCCTGGGCTGGCGTGTGATGTCCCCGATCGGCCTTCACAGTGTATGCCCAATGTAATCCATCTCCACTTTCTTCTACATATTTGTTGGATGATGGGTCCCTGGTTGGTTCGTTGCCAGGCCAGAGTTCCTTGTTGCATACTCTTATTATTCTGGTCATCTGAAGACGTCAAAGCCAGGATTGTAAAAGCAAGACAGGCCTTCCTGCATTAACCTGAAATCAGTGTGGAGATCTACTGCACTCAGCATTAAGCGTGAACAAGATCCGGATTTTCAACACTAATTCAGTCAAGTCAGTGCTGCTGCTATATGCTTGAGAAGCCTTGTGCGTTACGAAAAGCATTTCCAGCAAAATAAAGATATGCATGATCAACAGCTGCCGCCTACGCTCACTCAATACTGAAGATCAGATCAGATGACCAGAATAATAAGAATATGCAACAAGGAACTCTGGCCTGGCAACGAACCAACCAGGGACTCATCATCCAACAAATATGTAGAAGAAAGTGGAGATGGATTACATTGGGCATACACTGAGAAGGCCGATCGGGGACATCACACGCCAGCCCAGGCCGTCAAGTGGAACCCAAATGGAAAAGATGAGTTGGGCGTCCCAGCTGAGGGTGACATGGAGGAGATGATGTGAGGAGGAAATGAAAGCTTGTGGGCCTTCGTGGAGTCAGGTTGAAAATACTGCAGAGAACGGAGTGCAATGGCTTCAGTAGAAGCCCTATGTTCCACTAGGAACCGAAGGGAAAAATAATAATAATAATAATAATAATAATAATAATAGTGATCGCCAATTCCCAGTTCCTCTTTGCATGAAATTAAATTTGGTTTAAATCCGCTTCCCTCTTGATAATATTTTCAGATTGTGGAAAACTCTATTCACAACTACGTTCGAACTTTCTGTTACATTTCTTGTCTCACTACGCTTTATCAGTTTTGATTAGGTGATGTTTCCGTGCTCAGTTAGCCTAGCCCTGGTGCAGGTCCCTCTTTCTTATGGTATAGCTGTACAAATCGTGAATGAGCTTTTCAGTGTTACCATTACTTTGTCGGCTGAGGTAGGTCAAGGCCGAAAGAGGGCCCGAGGGGCCAGACTAAGACATGGTATCAATGTATGAAGTCTCTGACTGCTCGTTTGAACCATGTAGGGAGATGTAGACCAGCCAGTTAGGGTCCACGAGACAGGAAAAGCCAGTGGTTGGAGACTCTAGGTGATATGACTCAGTACCGATGTCAGTGGCGCAGATGTGTACACACATTATCCTCATCTTAACCGCTGTACTTAGTCTCATTATTTCCCCATCCCTCCTCCCTCCCTTTAACTACTTTTTTTGACCAATTTCTCTTTCTTTTTCACCTTCCGTTTCGTTGCTTTGTTACTTGATGTACTGGAATGAGGTGTGGCAACTTGGACCGTTAGGTAGTAACGTCTAGTCCTATGTCGATCTTGATGATGATGATTACTTTGTGCATTATTAATATCCATGCCATTACTAAGAGCTATATTTTTGCAATTACCAGTGGAAATATGAATAAATTTAAATCGATAATCAGGGAACTGAAAGTTGTCCGTTTGCATGTGTTGTTTTCGTAAATTTCCTACCGAAGTGGTTAGTTTTTTCTCTTTTCATTCACCAGTTCAAACAAGCCTACTCGATTCAAATACGTTGAAAAATGCATTTCCATAAACACTAGTTGCAAAACCACTACCTTTTTTTCTGTCTTACATTGTAATCTAGCAAACCTAGCTCTACATCATAAATCTCTAAATAATAGGCCAGCTGATTTCAATCTACAAATATTTTTAAGCGCAAACAATTGTCTGTATATTCTAGTTTCAACACTGTTAGTGCGCCATCTTCAGATTTCAAGGGTTGAGTGTTCCGACAGCTATGCATCCTAAACTATTCATAAATACGACTGCAGATATTGAATATTAGTAATCCCTCGCCTCATGATTAAGATATATAACTAGGACGATGAGACACTACATTGAAAATATTTCGATCCCTTGCACAGACATAGGTGCGCGCTGGGGAGGAGTCCCGTACTAAGACGAACCGGCTGTCCAGAGATCCCGGGTTTTCATCGGCTTTCCAACTGATTTCACTCCATGATGAATACTAACTTGAAATTAATAAACTCCCAAGAACCTTTAAAAGTGAATTACTTACTGTCTAACGCTCATTAGCGGGTTGCTTCGAAATAGGATTCTCTGAAGTTTCAATAAGAAGTTGTGACCGGTGGGGAGAACGAAGTCGGACGTGAAGACAGGTACTCAACGACCGCACTGGATGAAGGTCGTGTTGGGGGGTCACGGGCGCATACTGTTGGGGAATCTCATATTAAGATGAAACAGCTGTCCAGTGCTCTTAAGTTTTTTAATGATTCTCTGACTAATGTAACTCTGTGGTCAGTGTCAGTTTGAAATAATTATATTTCAATAAACCTCTAAAATCGAAAAAATAATTATTTCGAGTTAATAACGCATTTCCTTTAGTTTTTCTCATGCACAACCAACTACATATCGTTCAATAATTAAAGGGCATGAACAATACGACCAGATTCAAATAAAACTGAAAAGAAACCTATTTGGTGCAATGAAGTCGAAAAGACAAGCAAACAGTACTTACGTACGTGGTTGTCGTATCTCATTTGACGGCCATTGTTCTTCCGAAGAGATTACACGTGAAGAATTTGATTTAACAATTGCAAGGTAATGTGGAATTCTTAAGATTGGTGGCAGTAAATAAGTGAAATCCACATCGTTAGGCACTGATTCGCTTTCTTTTATTGACTCTGGTTTACGACAATCATTATAATCACGAATACTCTTTACATCCGATTGAACATTTGTTTGAATTCTTCCACCGGTTAACTTCCAATAGTAATATAGTTCTGATAAATCTTTAATACTATTAACAAAGTTATAAACTTTAAGAATACTGTTCTTGTCTTCATCCGAAGTCAGTGAGTGAGGTTGAAATTCCAATCTTTTAGAGTGATTCCATGTTTTCTGGATAATTAGATAAGAATAACAACTTAAGAACTAAACAAATATTCAGAGATAACATGGATGGAAACTTTGTAAATTTCTTCAACTTATGACCAGAAATATTTCTGGTAGTAACTGGCAATGGAATAGGGACACATGTTTCCATCTGATGTTCGTCATCCGGACACAACTGTGCCTTAGAGTTCATGTTGTCGATGAGACTGAAATTTGTCAGTTAAAATGTCACACCATAAATTAATAGATTACTGAACTACAGCAGACAAATAATTTGTAATGAGCATTGTTTTTTGATGTTATTTCATAAGCTGCATGGAACAGAATTTATGTTAGCTGAGAGACTTTTTCATTCACCGCGAAAACTCTTAACGATTATAATACTACATTTGTTTTTCGTTGTCTGTGAAACGGTTGTTGTTGTTGCAAAATATTAACAAAATGTATGTGATAAATCTGTTCTTCATCAATCCTAAAGTAAATATAATGGAGAACAACATTCTAAGTGACTTATGTATATAACAGTCAAAGAACTGTCGCTTTTTTAAACCTTATTTTGCACTAACTTTATTCAATATCCCATGTTAGTTTCTTTATCAGATATATCACACAGTGAAACAGTATTATTTACTGGATAACATACAGAACAAACTCAAAATATTAAAGATTTTCTCCGGTTCATTGTACACCAAATTCACTCAGGATTCTAATCTTCATAGAACCTGACATCTCAGATACCATGCTCGTCAAAATGACTCCTCTGTGCTTATCGCATTAAGATTTCTCTCCCTTATCCAAAACGTCGACAACCAGTGGTTGACACCAGATAAACTGGGTCGTAACGCATTCCCATACGCTAACTAACACTTCAGTCAATCTGACAACCAATACTCGACCATCAACCTTAAGTACCTATGATACTGGTCCTTCAGAGTCCGCTTTCCCTCCTCTCTCCGCGTCACTTACAGCATTTCCAACTTCGGCAATAACTGAAGGCCCTAATCCCTGTACTTCCTACAGGATTCGACTGGAAGTTTTCGCTTACCTTTCTCGGCTTCTCTTCTGTAGGTAGATCTCATATCCATCCTTCTCCATTATAGTCGCACTAGCCATTGACTTTCTTATCTACTGTTACCTATTATAGGGGCTGTTCCATCTCTTTAACCTTCATTACCCACCACTGCTCAATATCACTGCGTAGACTTGTCACCAGTTTACACTTGAGTTGCTTCCATTCTCCATTGTGCTCGGAGCCTGCAGCAATGCGTTCACATTTATTCTTGACCGTTTTATCAGTCAACTACGGTCTTTAACGCGATTTATACAGTAGACTGGAGATAGTACTAAATTTCTTTTCGATGAATGCTATCCCGTTCCAGTAACTGTCCAGGCAGTTTACCTTTTGAAACAGCTTCAGTAAATAAATCGTCGAGCTGAGCTCGCAACGGTCCTGTAGCTGCAGTTTTTCTGTCGTTATTGAGCCGCTTCAGAGTTGCTTCCGCTCTCCATCGTGCGCGTAGCCTGCATGAATGCGTTCACGTGTATGCATTGATTGAGATGAGGTTGCTGAGATTCATTCATTTTTATTAACCTCTTTCTGAAAGTCAGTCAGTCTCTATCATTACTTATCAAACAAACTGGAGATGGCACCCAGTTTCACTGTTCATAGCAATGAGCTATATATTTTCACCTTTAACTCCATTGTTAATAAAACACTTATAGCAGCATACAAACCAGTTACCTATCTAGGCACGAAAATATGATTTCTATGAAATATTCGCTAAATCCTGTTATCCGGTTAACAACAGAAGTACGAAATAAACAATTACGTTGCCGAACACATTACACACTAACAAACCACCTACAAACTATTTTGACAAAACCTTGTCAGAAATAAAGCTCAAACTCACTAAACCCACATATGGTCGTTAAATAAAAACCTTTGGTTAAACCAGTTATCATTATCATCAATATCAACACAGGACAAGGCATTACTGCGTAACGGTCCGAGTTGCCACACCTCATATCGGTACACAAAGTAAAAAGGAAGTGAGGCGCAAGATGAAGATAAGAGAATGTAGTCAGAAGAAATACGAAGTGCTAAAAGAAAGAAAGGAAGAATGAGAAAATGGTGAGATTCGGTATAGCCTGGTTAAGATGAGGATAATGTATGTATACACATCTGCACCACTGACATCGGTTCTCAGCCATATCACCTAGAGTCTCCAACCACTGGTTCCTCTTGTCCCGCCGACCCCAACCACCTAGTCTGCATCGCCCTATATGGCTCAAACCAACAGTCAGAGACTTCATACATTGGTGCCATGTTTTAGTCTGGCCACCTCGGGCCTTTTTCCAGCCTGCACCTACCTCAGCCAACATTGTGTGACGAGGCAATCGGTGACTAGGCATACGTAATACGTGTCCCAACCATCTCAGTCGATGAAGGTTCACAACCTCGTCAACTGATTTACCTCTTCTCCCTAAAACTCTATACCTAACTTCTGCATTACTCACGTGGTGACACCACGGAATACGTCCTATACTACGAAGGCAACGGTGGTCAAACACTTGAAGTCAGCCTTCTCATGTCTTCCACTTTCAATGGCCATGTTTCACAGCCATACAGTAGAACAGAGCGGACTGCTGTGCAGTACACGCGACCCTTAATAGACAAACGGATATCACGGCGGCGCCATAGGTGGCGCAAATTGGCAAAAGCCAATCGAGCCTTTTGTATCCGTGCAGAGATTTCATCGGCAACTGACCCACCAGGGCTGATCCTACTTCCCAGGTAAGTGAAGTGGTCGACACACTCAACCACTACTACTCTCTATTGTTAGCCGAGGCACCGTTGAAGACCAGTCCTGGAGCAACAATTTGCATTTGGGTGGTGAGAAACGCATCCCAAACATTCTCAAATTCCCACTCAAAGTGTTCAGAAGACTCTGCATCTTGTCAGCGTCTTCACCTAACAGGACTATGTCATCTGCATATTCTAGATCTAAGGAAAATTCTCCAGCGATTAGGTCAACGTCTGTGTAATTAGGTGACGAGAGGGAGACCTCCATAAGAATATCTATGATAAAATTAAATAAGAATGGATAGTGGGCATCCTTGACGGACACCACTTGATGAGTATAGCTCCCTGGACAACTCACCATAGGCTCTAACATGCCCACAAGTGTTCGAGTAGAGAGCTTTCAATAAGGTGATGTACTTACTCGACACGCCTTTCAGTGACAGACACTGCCATAAGACTTCTCGATCAACGGAGTCAAATGCCGCCTTCAGGTCGAGAAATACAGCTATTGTCGGGCGTCTGTAAGCATGCCTATGTTCCAGGACCTGGCGCAGTGTGAATACTTGGTCGATACATCCACGGCCAGGTCTAAAGCCTGCCTGGTTTTCTCGGGCTTGCTGTTCCCGAGCTCCACTCAGGCGTCGGAGAATTATAGAACTTAGGTAGCATCTTAGACACTATGTTCGTCAGGCTGATTCCTCTGTGGTTATCACAAGAGGACTTCTCGCCTTTCTTGAAGACTGGGATGATCAGTGACTTAGACCAGTCGGAGGGGATCGTATTTGATTCCCATATACTGGCTAACACTTCCGTTAGCCTGACTAAGAGAACTCTACCACCATTCTTGTATACCTCAGCAGGTAGTCCGTCTGGTCCTGCTGCCCTTCCTCGTTTCAGGCTACCTACCGCTTTCTCGACTTCTTCTAGTGTTGGGGGGCCTGTCTCTATGTCCCATTCAGGGTCCGACTGGATAGCGGGCAGCGCAATGGTGGCTGGAGGCCAGTTAAACTGTTCCTCGAAGTGTTCTGCCCATCGTTCCAGTCGCCTTCCCTGCGAGTGAATCGCAGATCCGTCCTTCTCCGCTATAACCTCACTAACTGTTGTTGACCATTTCCCCCAGTCTCCTTAATAAGTCTAAATAACTGTCTACTGTTACCGATCGCCGCTGCCTTTTCCATCTCTTTAGCCTTTGCTGCCCACCACTGTTCACGATCGTTGCGCAGACTTTTCGTCAGTCTATTTTTAAGTTGCGCTCGCTCTTCATTGTACTCAGAGCCTGCAGGGATGCATTCACGTGCATCCATTAGTTTGGAAGAAGCTGCTGATATCCACTGGCTCTTTTTAGCCATTATCTTGGAGTCGGCTACAGTCTCCAGTGCTGCTTTTACAGTAGACTGAAGATGGCACCAAGCTTCTTCTGGATGAGTGACAGTCTTTTGTTCCGATAACTGCCTAGCCAACGTCTCACTGAACGCGGCTTTCGTGTTTTCGTTGTCGAGCTGTATTCGTAGTGATTTTATTGCCAAATGTTTCCTTCATCCATTGAGACGCAGGTATATATGTGCTCGGACCAACACGTGATCGCCATCCAAACACGTACTCCGGAAGGAGAGGCAGTCTTTCACCGATCCTCTCCAGTGACGACTAATAGCAATGTGGTCTATCTGCATCCATCGCTGAGTTGAGCTTGGTGGATGTCACGTCAGACAGTGTCTTTCCTAACGTCTGAAATTTGTGCTAGCTAGAAATGGGGGTTTACCTGAGCACAGTTGTAGTAGGCGATCACCGTTATCTGTAAGTTCAGCCGGGATTCCGAAAGTGCCACCTAAGTGCCTTTCTGCCTCACTCAGTCTACCCACCTCTGCATTGAAATTATCTACAACAACCACCACGTCCGAAGGTTTGGCTTTCGAGAGGAGGCTAGACAGTTTTCGGTAGAACTCGTCCTTCACTGCAACTGAACTGCAGTTAGTGGGTGAGTAAGCAGAGATTACAAAGAGATAGCGGTGAGTTTCACTATTATTTTAGTTTTCACTGAGACGGATAACTTAAGGCAACTATCAACTGGGATCCAGTCCAGCAGTGAGTTTTCTGCCCTAGTGATTAATGCCATGCCTACATGTGCAAGACAGCGAGAGCTAGCTATCGAATCTACAGAAACTTAAAGGGTGAATTTTGCAGATTCATCAGGTTGGCAGGGAGAGGTCAGGTGGACAGTCGCACTTGGGACCTGTATGCAAGTCTCACAAACACAGCACACATTCATGCCTCGGGTTGGCCAATAAAACCTGCTGACCAATTTGACAGAGGGTGAGGACATTGAAGGTCCCAATGTGTAATTTGGAGCGTGGTTTAAAGAGACCAGGGATGGTGTTCTGTGCATTCACATAGTTGTCAAAAGCTGCAGAGCCAGGAGAAACTGATGGTGATGTAGTATCGTTAATTGAGAGACGTGAAGGTAGTTTAGAAAGACATGATGAGGGAGGTGGATAGCAGTCTGAAGAAACTTGAATGCTGACAGAGGTTTGAGGCCGGTTCACACTTCCCGACTGCCAACACCGTGGAAGGCTATTTCTTCTTAAGGTAGATGAGAGAGATTTGTCTGATCGCAGAGACCATCGAACATCTGCTTGAGGCCCGTCACATTCAGCCTTTTGTGTATGGTCGTTTTGAGCTTTTTTCGTTTTGTGGCCGGATGGTCGAAAAGAAATGATAAGTGAACCAACACCGCCGGCCCAGCAGACCGTGGGTCATGGTGAAGTGTGTTATTTTTGGGGGGTTGACCCTTTCTAGCCCACCCTCATTCCCCTGAGAAAACAGCATCAGCATGGCACCGCTGGTCATCCAAAGGAAACACCTTACTGCTGTCACACCCCACCCAGCTGGCAGCAGTACGACTTCGCCCCCAGATCTTCTATCATAGTGTAGTAATTTACACCACAAACGTAACTGCTTTTCGTCTAACCATTACCCAGCAGACCTTTCGGGTATGGTAGAACGTCGAGGGAACAAGTGTTCCATCAGCACAAATCGTTGGGTCATAGTGATATGCGGGCCCGAGCAACACGTCAAGGTAGTAGCTATCGATCGGTTGGTTAGAACAGTAGTTAACATTACCTGATGTGAGTAGCTGTACATGATCTTTTCGTTTCTTTGCAACCGAACTCGTGGGAAATGTACCTATAATAGTTCAGTTGAATGAATCGAATCTCTAAAACCTGCTCATTTCTGAATGGCTTTTGAAGTTGAATAATGATGCATAAGGGTCTAAATAAAATACATATTCCGAGAACTTATTATCGGGTATTGGCTCAATTTTGCATACTAAAAAACAACAGAGGGGTCAGAAGTGGATAAAAAAAGGAATGAAATGATGCTACTAAGCTTCGTAAAAAGAACCTGGTGGAAAAAGGGAAGAATATGGTTAAATAACAGCAAGGGGTTTAAAAATTAAGTTGCAATACGGCGGGGGAGCACCTACGCCAATGAAATCGACTCCGATGAATGATTTGGGTGGTTACTTAACGCAACTAATAGCATCAAGCAGATTACAAATTGGTGTTGAAATACTTTGACTTAAATAATACTACAATCCAACGCTCTGTTTAGTTGTGTTGCTTTCTTCTCACAGTATGTCTCAAACAATTGATTCCACTCTGGAATCCATTTGTTGCCTCTATCACCCCAAAGGGTATCAAAATTTAGCTATAGAAGATGAGAACATTCAAAATTTATTCCCCAGAACGCATCCAATTATAAAAGCCCGGAAAGTGACTTACGATTTGCTGGCTATAAAATAGCAATGTAAGAATCAAAGTGGCTTGGCTTACTTATTCAGCATTATTTGAGGAGCTGTTTCAACTAGTTACTGTGATAACCTGGGTTGGGACCGGTTTTATACCTTTTTGCATCCCAAAGGCTTTTCATTTTTTATAATGACCCTAAAGTAATTATTGGAAGATGGTTTAAGAACAAAATGGCATTCGACCAATAGTTTGTAAATTACCATTTGTGATAGCCTAGATGAACTCAAATCTGTAGATTATCAAAACAGCTTATGTCGGATGTAGAGCACAAACAATGATTGTCCGCTGAGGTAACCATACTAATTACAACACCTGGAAAACCCACACAGCCTAAAGTGAAACAATCCCTAAGGTAACTCACTAATGACTCACATAACAATGGCAAATAAGAATGTAAGTCAGCAAGCACATTAGTGCACTACATTTCAGCGATATATTTTATGCTAATGTTACTACAAAACCTCAGCAGGTGAGGTGCAGTCCTAACCTTCGATATTTTGGTTGATAACAGAGTTACTGTAGTAACAAGCCAAAGGGTCCATTGATTATATTACCTAGAGATAAGTGTAAACTGAATAGATGAGCCTATTGTACAGTGTGAACCACTGTTTACGAACGTTTAACGATATGCCTAAAAATTGATCACAATGATAGTTTCAATTCATCCTTGGCATTCTCTGTTGTAAAAACGGTAACTTCCATTTTCCTTGCGAGGATACTTTTTATGAGGATAGTAATGCTTTTGTCTTTCTAGTTTATGAGAAAAGAGTAACAGTTGGTATGAGAGCATTTTTATCCTAGATTTTATACTGTCTTAATTGATAAATAACCCATCTGATAATCTGTAAACTGGGTGAGACTAAAAGTTATCCCCAGGTGTTATAGGATTCTGCCTGGAAATATATGTTTTATGCCTTTTGTGTATATATTCTGGAGCAAAAACCGCAATTTTAATTCCTTTTGGATATAATTTGAAGCCTCAACTAACTCACTGTGATCCGTGAGCATCATTTATCCTGAATAACTGTACTTACTTTCCATCTAAGAAGTGGAAGTGTAGCCAACACTGCACATGAACTAACGGTTTGAAACACGATTCATTGATAGATGGCATTGTAAAAACCATCCAAATAGTTAAAATATTCATACAAAACAGAAAATGTTGGTATTTCCACAAACAACTGGACAATCTATGGGGAGCACAATAATATCTGGGGATAACTTTTAGTGTCACCCCTGTAAACTGCATAACATCAGATTTGAGCAATGCACTATTACTTATTTCAGAAAAGTGAATTTTGAGCTCATCTCAGTGTAACCACGTTTTCATCTTACTGGAATAAAGTTGACCAGATTGAAACGTGAAAAAAACTAAAATTACGAACAAACTGTAAGAGCAAGCGCTTAAATTTGGAATGTAAACTTGCTTGAAAGTAAGGTGTCGATTTTCCAGCCAAATCTTTGTTGTAATTACTGATAAATAATTTATCCATCTGTTTCATTAAACATCTCGGACTAGGCCTTATCAGTGCATTAAACCTTAAGCAATCGCGAACTAGTTGATCAAAAGTTGCCAGTTCCGAAGGCAAATTGTTAGCTAAGTGAAGTTGCAAAAATTCAGGTAATGTTGGATAATGGTCGGCTTGACAAAGACCTTTCAGTAGTTGTTCAATCACTCGAATTTTCGTCCCATTATTGTCATTTTGACTTTTAAGTAAAGGATTAGCGCATTCTCTACTGTGAATTATTTCAAAAAAGATCAAACCAAGAGACCACACATCGGCTTCTATCTTCACCCAGCATTTATCAGAGTTCAATGAACATTCTAATTTCGATGGATATCTGGTGTGGTTACACAGAAACAGAAATACTTCAGGAGCAGAATACACTGGATTGTGTAGAACAAAATCAATTGCATCGCACCATTCTGTGCCATAAAATATTCCATATCCTCCTATTTTGACATGCCCATCAGGATCAAGCATGATCATTTCAGGTGTGAGACAGCTATGAACCAAACCATTGTCATTCATAAAAGCTAGTGCAGATAGGCATTCGTAGAAACGATGTAATAGCCAGTTAACATTAGTGACAGGGTCACTTAAATCATAAAAGCTTGTACTGTAATACTCAGAAATAACTGATATTATTTCTCCTTTTTCTCTAACGGCGTCAAGGTATCGACATAAGTTAGGATGTCTGATATGTGATAACTGACGAAATCTTGCGTAGCATGTCACTGACAGTGGTAGTCTAGGTAAACCATTGACATCAACTTCAGTTAGACTGGAGAGCGATACAGGAATTTTTGTGACACCGATTGGAAATCCAAATGCAGAACTTTTCAGAACCGGTTCTCCCATAGACCAAAGCTGAAGTATAAAAGAAACTTAAATAAAAATTTCCATACATAAAAGTTTAAGCTCAACAAGTAAAATCAAAAATGACTATTAGTGTGAAACAAAACCTCGCCCGGTTAACTAGTTCACTAGTTACTAGCCGGTCCTAAGCCCGGGTAAAGAGGGAAGGTTGGGCATAGGGCTAGCAACCCTACCTCGTAAAACAAATCTAACCGCTAAAGAAACTTCAAAGCACAAACGAAATATAAAAAATAATAATAATTAGTGTGAAGCAACGCATTTTAATGTCAGATCTTGCTCTATGGTTAGGGAGTGATCAATGTGAGCATAAGGGATGATGATATTACAGGTAACGGGAAAAATTAGTAAATCCATGAACTGATTCAGCAATCCGTTCACAAACTGACACTCATGATGATTGTCAACTGACCAAATTAAACAACACCTTGAGCTAAATATGACATCAGTAAGTTCGCTTGTAATTCAAAATCTGCTAGTGGTTCTATAGCTACAAAGAAAAATGTTATTTGATGAACACGTACTTATTCGTACATAAACTACCAGATATATCCCACGCCAAGAGGCAGTTAAGAAGGGTTGATTCATTCAACCTTGACCAATTTTTCCATAGTAAGGTAGTTTAACTAATGACTGCACCTTGACTAACATTAATTCCAATAAGATGTTCATTTGTGACCAACCTAAGGCAGATGTTCCTCAAGCGTTTCGGTCTCACAAAACTAATTCTACTTTCTTTTCCCAGTACCTCTAAAATACATCAACTTCCGAAATTCCCACAACAAGAAAGTATCGACCAGCCTCACATGATTCCAACAAACAAAACCAATTTAATTCTCGTTCGCTTCCTTTATCTCTCTTGTTATCCCCTCTTTTCATTACTAGAACTATTCTTCCTATAATTTATTTAATTTCTTATCCAAAGACCACTATGAATGATTCAGGTCAACAAAATGCCTGTGTTGACAACTTCCCATCTGAGCATTTAATAACTGACTGTCGGACAAAATCAATGTAGAACCTTGCACACAGGTGCATCGGCTCAAGTTGCCACACCTCACAGTAGTACACAAATAACAGATGGATAGAAAAACAGTGATAACCAAGGAGATACAGTAGTGTCAGAGAATAAACAATCTGAACATAAAGGTTAGTGTGAATATTCAAGCTTTAGAAGATTTCAAGGAGTGAATACATCCGCACCACTGTGACCGCCTTTCAACCATGTCACCAAGAATCATCACAACCACTGATTTCGTTCATCTCGGCGACCACAACCAGGCAGTCTACATCTTCCCAGATGACTCAGAACAACAGTAAAAAACCTCATCTGGTCTTGGTCTGGCCACTCTGAACCCCCTTCCAACCTAATCCAACTTCTCCTAACATCCACGTCTAGGTTGGTGGCAGTGCCTTAGCACACGCAGTGTATGTCCAAGTCATCTTAATCGACTAAAGTTCACAAACTCATCCATCGACTTGCTTGTCGTGTCTAGTACGCTTTCCCTAACCTCAACATTGCTCACATAGTGACTCCACAAAACGCGAGCAATGATGTGAAGACACCTATGATCATACAATTGTAACTGCCACATGTCTTTACTTTCAACGATCATATCTCACAGCCATATAACAGGACAGAACGGACCCCAGACCAGTATACTCGTCGTTTGCTAGATGGACAGTCGGTGCCACAGGTGACCCATATTGGAAAGTGCCAAACGGGCCTCCCAGCTGAGATTTCGTTAGCAACTTACCCGTTTGGGCTGATGGAACTCCTCAAGTAAGTGAAGTGATCCACACAATCCACCACTTCACTCTTTATCAATAAACTGGGAATCCTTGCACACCAGTCCTCGAGAATCATACTACATTTCACAGGTGCCAGAGAAATCCATGCCAAACATGCTCAACTCGTTCACAAGACCCTGCATTGAATCAGAGTCTTAACCTGGTAGGACAATATCGTCTGTATACTTCAAGTCAACTAGATGACCTCAAGGAGTAGATCAATCCCTGTGAAGTCAGACGCACCTACCGTTATGTCCATTAATACGTCTATAGCGAATTTAAGCAGGAGCATTTAATGTGTGAAACCTATGCCGAACTGAAAAGCAGACCCCATTAACCTGAACTATAGCACGGGTCACGAATGTGAAACATGCATATAGGATCCATGTGAGGTTATTCCCAAAACCTTATGTAATTAATGTGGTAACTCCAAGGATTCAGATTACGAGCATCAAAAGATGGAATAGCTAGTCCCATTTGACTCGCAACAAAGATTATGACGCAAGTAAATACCTATTTATGACACCCATCCACATCGACCAACATGTGAATTTCAAACAATTTTACCTTAAACGTCAAAACATTACGACACTTGTATCAGTGGACCAATTCATCATCAGGTAGAAGGTCAGACCAATAAGGAAAACATATTGAGTATCCACGAGATTCTACGCCAGCAACAGAACAATGGTGATCATTTCCTTAGACAACTTGATGCAGATCCCCCCCTAATTTCATAAATAAAGATATTGCTTTACTTAGTGGGTACCAAAATGAGCCAACGATGGAATTCGTAAAACCCAGTACCAATTAGGACTGGTGAGGACTTTCACGCTACCTGACCTTTATGAAAACGATAGTCCACGTCAGTCAACATCATCTTGAGATCAGGTATTATTGCATAATGGTCAAATTTATCACATTTCACATCAGCACATCAAGATACAAGGTACAAAAATTGAGGTATGAGAAACATCGATCATTGTCACTGGAAACTAAGTGTCATATGACGATTGTGCATGTCAAGCAACCGTCTACATTGACATGCCGTACTAAGGGAAGTTGGATTAGGTTAGAAGACGGCCCGAAGTGACCAGACCAAGACGGGATACCAGTCTATGAAGCTTCTTATTGTTGATGTGAGCCAGGAGGGAGTGGTGTAGACTACCTACCTCCCTGAGACGATATGAACCAGTGGTCGATGACTTAATGATATGGTTGAAAGGCGGTCACAGTGGTGCGGATGTATTCACTCCTTGAAATCTTCTAAAGCTTGAATATTCACACTAACCTTTATGTTCAGATTGTTTATTCTCTGACACTACTGTATCTCCTTGGTTATCACTGTTTTTCTATCCATCTGTTATTTGTGTACTACTGTGAGGTGTGGCAACTTGAGCCGATGCACCTGTGCGCAGAATTCCACTTTGAATTTATGTGTCTGAAATAGAAATAAGATGTGGATGCATCTGAGCCACTGCGATAGATTCAGCTAATGGCCCATGTGGGACACAGTGGTGGTTAGACATGTGTATTATTATTATTATTATTATTATTATTATTATTATTATTATTATTATTAGAACACAAAAATGGTACAGCAAGGGCATCAAGAAATGCACCACACAAAATAGTATAATAACGATGTGAAGACATGAACGATGGGAAGTGGATAAGTAAGAAAGAAAAACGATAAGAATAACAGTTCAGTATGGCGCATTCGAAACAAAAATATTTATTACTTTTGAGCAGCAGAAGATAGGAGGAAGCTACGGCATAATAGCCACTGTTTGGATTCTGAGTCATATCTGATAATATTTTCAGCCCCTAAGTTGCGTGATTTCTTGGACCCCACCCATGGAGTTGTGATGCACCAACAGATCGTAACCCGATACAACTATCCTTCATCGAACGGCGTCACATCATACAATGAACACCCCTACACTCCTTCTATCCAGTTCCGGGGCTCTCAAACGATGAACGGTGCGGAAGCCGTTGGGATGACATGCGTAACACATCTCCAAGCCCTGAAGCCGGTGTTTCAAGATGACTCCACTCATTGAATGACAATCTCCATCATGCCCAAACACGCTGTCGTACCTCAGAACTACTTACATGGTGTTGTCTTCGAATACCCTAACCCTACGGGGACAATGATGGTAGAACAGACAGAGTCGGCGTCGCATATCAGCTCGGAGACCAGGTTTCATAGGCGTAGAGCAGAACTGCCTGCACCAAAGCGTGGTAAACCCGACTTTTACAGTCACACTAACGTCACGACGGCGCCAAAGGTGCCTCGCATTGACGTATGCCACTCTGGCTCTCGATATGCGGTTGGGATTTTCACCACGCACCCCCACCAACACACACAACGACCCATATACACACACTTTTCGACTGCTTCCTACGGCTCACCATCAAGTTTGAGCGCAGGCACAGGTTCATACTGATCTTGCAATAGTACTTTGCACTTCAGTGGTGCGAAGTACATACCATACTTACCGACACTAATCGCCAACTGATTAAATGCGGTTTGGGCAGCCTGTGAGCTATTGCACAGCAAAACGATGTCATCCGCATATTCAAGGTCGGATAGTCGTTCTCCGGGTAGCGGATCTACACCACCATCACACGGCTTCAGAGCTGTTTCAGGTATGTCATCGGTGGTAAAGTTAAAGAGGAATAGAGAAACTGGGCAACCTTGCCTCCCCCACTGCTGGTTTGGAACTATGGAGATAGGTGGTTGTATGCCTCACTCTACCTGAGGTGTTATTATGTAGGACTTTCAAGAGGCTAATAAATTCCTCAGGTACCCCCCTCTCCAACAGACAACTCCAGAGAACAGCTTTCCATAACTAATTGAAGGCAGCCCTAATGTCGAGAAACACAATGATTGTTGGTCTGCAATACGTGTGGCGATGTTCAAACATCTGGTGGGGGGTAAACACATGATCAAAGAATTTACGGCCTGAACGAAAACCGGCCTTCTCCTTGCGAATCATTCGCTCACGTGTTTTGTAGCCTGCGAAGTATGATAGTAACCAATATTTTCGATGTAACTGGTAACTGACTAATACCCGGTGATTGTTACACACATAACGTAGACCCTTTATAGAGATGGGCATAACGATGGTTTCATCCCACAGTGGTAGAACACTTTCAATCTGCCATACCTTCTCAAATAGTCTGGTCAGTTCCCTGACTAGAGTCGTTCCTCCATAATTAAAAAGGGCCTAAGGTAAGTTGTCTGGGCCGAGTGCCTTTTGGGGTTTCAGAACTTGGAGTTCCTTATGGACCTCAACTTCGTTAGGTGGGTCAGTTTTAACTGACCATGGAGCATTACACACTGAATCTGACAGTGCTGGAGCCATGCGCCAACTAAACTGCTTTTTGAAGTGCCCTTCCTAGGATTTCAAACGTCTTTTAAGATTGTTTATCGGCGTACCATCTACCTCATAGACAGTCTCACTGACACCTGGCTTCTATCTGCCAGTGGATCAAATGAACTGGAACACGTTCCGAATACTGCCAGATGCAGCTGCTGCTTTCATCTTACTCACGCGTCCTAACCACTGAGCCTCGGTCCGTGAGCAAGCGTTGTGTAATCTTTCGCGTAAGAATCTTACGCAGACCAATGTACTCGCTATCCGCTGAGCATCAAGAAGTCGCAGGGAGTTCGCAGAGACCCAGTGTTTGCTAACGGGACGTTCCGCCAAGCCGCAAGCAGCTCCACTCGCCATTTTCATGGGGTCCTGCAAGTGCAGTAAATGGTCGTCTACACTTTCTGGAGGGTCAGTAACCAGACTTAAAACTAGCTTGAATTGGCATTTAGCTGTAATTTTAGGTGCAACTAACTTGCACCTGTTTAGGACGACAATTTTGATGACCAAAATGCAAGACGAGCTTAGCACACACTAAACCATGATCAGAGTCAAGACAAGTACTCCATATGGAGCGGCAGTCCTGTGCGCACCCACGCCATTCGTAGCTGGTTGCGATATGATTTATTTGAGTCCAAGCTTGAGTGGTAGAGAGAGGATGCCAAGTAGCACAACGGTGATGGTTGGTGCTGGTTAGAAATAGGTTGTGGTCTTAGTAAAGCTGCAGAAGACGATCCCCATTATCCGACCTGCATACTCATTGGTTACCTAAACAACTCTCCTCAAAGTCTAGATGCTCGACCTACGCATTCAAGTCTCAAGCTAGCACTACAATATCTGTTGAGCACATTTGTTCGAGGTCACTCGGAGATAGAATTCATCCTTGGTCGCATCCGGGCTGCAATACGTTGCGGCACAGGAAGAGATGACAAAGACATTTTCTTGCTAGTTACCTCTTACTCGAGATGAACCTTTTACCCTAACAGCACACGGACGACTGTTGATGGGGATTAGGCCGAGGTAGTTCAGATTCGTCTCCAGTGCTTAGTGCGACGCCGGTTACCGATGCCACAAGGTCCCCGGATAAGTGCACAAGAAACATACTTTTTGAGCTGACAGATGGTAAACTAATTCGAAGCCCTTCATCGGAATCTTGCATGAGAGTCTCTGAGATGCAGTATGTATCAATAGCAAGGCTTTCCAGAGTCCTAGTCAAACTTGCCTGTTGTCCGACCTGCATCAAGGTGCGAACGTTGCGAGTGACGAGTTCAAACGATATGCCTGGTTCCAGAATAGCTGTGCCAGATGTCGCACTGGAGGACAGCTTTATGGGGGCAACCGTTTAGCAACATAAAACGGTACAGGCAGATCAGAAGTCTAAGCAATGGAGAGCAGCTGGGTAAAGTGAAGACAAAAGTGAAAATGGTAATAACAAAATACAGTTAATATGTACAAACAACAATATAATAGCAACAAATAAATCGATAACAAAGTTCTCAGTGAGGAAAGCTTCAGTATTCGCATAAAAATTGATTAGTAGCTTCGAAAATTTCATTTTATACTGTAAATTCTTATCTTATGTTAGGGCTGGGATACTGCCTGGGCGCCTTGACCGGAGCATGCGTAGCTTGCATCAAGCAGTCTGTTAGTATAGCTTCATCAACTCATCAACTGAACGATCTCATGTCGCTAATACTCTTCGTCTGACTTCTTTGTTGGTAATGTGGTGGTTCCACGATACACAGCCTTTATTAGGCAGGAGACGGTGATCGAATGCCGGAAGTTTATATTTGCACCACTTTTAATGGTCGCTTCACAATTATACTATAGGACACCGAACTGCCTCTCAGTGAAATTGACAACTAGATTTCTGCACTACATGTAGCTTAAGTTGCTAAAAGCTGTTAGTTCAATCAAGTGTATCTGCTAAGAACTGAATGTAGTAAACTAGTCAGTCATCATTCAACCCCAGATAAAATCAGATGAGTATCAGTCCTCTGAATCTCACCACAATTGAAAGAGCTGCCTCTAAATCTTGGTCTATAGCAACCTAATAATTAACTGAAGCTCAAGAAAAACAAACTTGAGGAAAACCAACCAAGTTGTAGGTATTACCGAGGATGCGTTTATTGCATTTTTTTCTGTTTGCCAGGCTTCCCAAGACTAATAGACATCCCAGTGCCAAACTTTTACCATTTTTCATGATCAGGAAATACGACTCGACTCCGAAAATTGAAAAGTGTTGTGACAGTATTTGATTGTGGAAGGAGTGTCAAGAAAGTAAATTAAGTTAACCAACACCAACTACTTAGACTCACGTTGCTGTGAAAGTTTTATGGAAAGTGGTTATGAGGTGAAAACCAGAATTATCCCCCAGAGATCTCTATTAGCATTCTCGTTTAATTCGCTACAGATGCACTGATGAATGTTGTCCATATTACCCCCCGAATTCACAAAAATTAAGTTACTTCCAACAAACTATGTGGTTGACTCAGGGTATGCATATGACATAGACTTTTTAGGCAATGCTCGAAAAATCCAAGGAATTCTGAGGACTGGATGAGAAAATCAAAGTGTTATTGTCATCTATCTCAAATCTATCAAATGTAGGATGAAAACGTAAGGACTGATATGCACAGAAACCTAATTTCAGTATGGCGAATAATGTGTAGTGTATTGCTGCCTCTTATTTGGAAAAATGTATCGAAGTTGATAAGCTGGCGGCTGAAAAATTCACAGCATACAAAAAATTCCTTTCAGCACTTTCTAAAGTATGCCATCTGTAGTAATGGTGATATACGTGACTGTTTACCAAAGAACAAGCCTACTTTTCATGAATATGCTCTGTCCTTCTCTGTAACTACGATTGATGTCATGGTTGGGAATAGGACAATAGGCAAGGAAGACAATCAGTCAGTTTATGGACCTTCAATGCCTGAGATATCTTAGAGGTGTCGCGCATGCCAAGCCAACGCCTATCCAGACATGGAATGTTAGACAAGATAGCATTGGGTTGGATGAAGGGTCACGCTGGTCAGACCAAGACATAGCACCAGTCCATGAAGAGTCTGACTGCCTGTCTGAGGTGTGACGGGACATGGAAATTACCCATCTAGGGTCCCCGAGACGACAGTAATCAACGGTTGGAGACTCTTGGCTACATGGCTGAAAAATCAGTCACAATGATGTGGATGTACAGTATTTATCGCCCTTGAAGTCTTGAACATAGCGAACTATCGACTGATTATTCTCTTTTCTAGTACACTTTTGCTCAATATCACTTTCTAGGCACTTTTTGTCCACAAGCTGATAAAAAAAATGTGGCAATTTGAACCGAAGTGCCTCTATAATACGTTCTAAATCGATAGCTTGCCAACCAAGCTGTGCAACTCAACCGAATATCATGACAGATACACCTGAGTGACAAATTGTTATATCGTGGTTTTTTCTAAGGGCGAAAACACCAACCTCTATGTATCAGTCACGACATATGTAGCTTACTACAACGAAAGTTCCAGGGCTTTGCCACCGATCTTATTACTCTTGAAGTACAAGTCCGTACAATATAGCTCGTATAAGGGTTTTAACAGAACCTGCCGGTTCGGAATATACTTTACAACTCACTGCTCAACGCCAAAATAACCCATCTTATGACGCTGTGCTCCTATGCGAATAATAAGATGTACCGTAGTATCCCTACCTTAATTAATAACACGTACACCTCAGTTATTTGAAGACCACTAGAACAAAACATAAGCAGTGGTGGATATTTGGAAGATCTTTACTTAGGAACCCTTACTCAACAAAAATAAAATACCGGGGATGGAGATGATAAACGAATTATGTTTATGACTTACTTAGAAAATTAGGGACTGGATATTTTTTTTAAATAAGAAGGAATAGTCAGCTACATGTAGCTGAGTTACGGCGCACCCAAAATCACAATCTAGAAACAAATTAGTGCTCGTACAGAAGTCAACATACTTCTGATAAGTCAAGAACAAAGCCCACTTTTGCTTCAGCAACCTTGAATTGACAAAGTTAACTTCAGTTTATGGATAACAAACTGCCTATGACAATACCCAGCTAGCAAATACTTTGGGAGCACTTTGAAATTTTTGGGCACTTAACATTTTGGGGTTACTCCTGACGATGCATCGTCGCGCCCGGAACTGTCAAAAAAACTTCAACAAAAATTCAAAATTCGTCAAACTGCACCCAAAGTCTAGTTCAAAAATCTCAAAGTGCGCCCAAAAATGGGAATATATTTCCGCTGACATAGAACGTCATTAAAAAAGGCACTACAAAAACACATTTCTTAATGCACTGGAAGTTTTAAAATCACTGACAATCTACTTCCATGAATCACAGACTTTGTGATGAAGATCCATTTTAAACTATTACTAACACCTGATAGAAGTAAGAGTCGTAATACATACAAATCACGATTTCACGCTATTTCTTTAGGAAGTATTGAACCAGTTTGCGTCATGAGATTCAACATAATACTTGTTATAGATGCGTTAAGGAAGAATCGCGGATTCGTATATTCAGTTTAACTATAAGTTATCCCCAAAACGAACTTGGCTGGTTTCTATTTGCTGTCGACCTTGAGTTACAGAAGTGAAGCCAGTTTCTCATATTTAATGGCGTTCAGGTAGTTGTTGGAGGGAATAGGCCTTAGTGTACATTATATGCCTCAGCAACTGGAACATTTTGTGGTTTTAAGAGGTTAAAATTGCCATCATCTACCTTTCGGTTGCAAGCGGTTGATTTGTTTCTTTTGTAGGCGAGTATGTAAAGGGAAATTGGAATTTGTATTCAGGGAGCTAGTTACTGTATGTCAAGATGGGTGACAATGGCTCTCATCCCATAAGTTTCTAGCCTTCATTGAACACCACCCAGGACGAATGTGGTTCGCTTATATTCCGCCGACCAACAATATCCAATACCTTTTTCCAGCTAGTTTAAACCAGTTAATTTCTTTTGCGCTCTTTTCAGGTCTCCAAACTTCAAACTTCGTGTTGTAGAATCAGTGTACGGCGGTTACTTGGGTCATGCGTCTGTCTTATTGGAATACGTCCTGGGTTTGGAATGGTCACAGTTATCTTCCCGGTTCCGAAAAACCTGGATAGATAAAAATAAACGATTATTAATTAGCCTGGTCTCAACTTGGTATTACTGCATTTTATCTGCAGATGACGGAAAGCTTCTTGAGTACAGCCCATTATTGACGTAGGACTCAAGGTGTGCGTCTAACCTCCTTTCAAAGTATCAGGGGATGGGGCTGTAACAATTGCTGGAGGGAGTTCTACAATTTACAGACTCTAACCTCAAATGAGTTAGCACGGATCTTTGTGCGTGCCCCCCCACGCTCTAGTCCTAACGGGTGACGCCCCAACTCACGTTTCCGAGTAAACCTTAGAAGAGATCTATTAGGATAGAGAGGACAACGGGCGATGTGGTACATCCCGATCATATCCCCTCTGATCCGCCGGTATTGTACTGGGTGTAGCTTAAGAGCAGCTAGGTGGCCTGGGTACGGCTTGTGCCTTAACCCAACTAATTTCTTTGTGGCTCTCCTGCGTACCCGTTCTAGGATGGGTATGTCGTTCAATTTTGGGGACAGTCCTGAGAAACGGTTCCAGATCTTTGGTGGATTCCGATGCAGTAGGTCTTCCCACACGCTTTTTGTAGCTCCGGTTAGCATCACGGGTGGTAGGGTGTTGGCTAAATTTAAGTGGTTTTTCCTGGGAATGTGGTGTGGGCGGGGTCCTCAAGTGTCGTGCCATCAGAGCTGTTCATATTGGTTACAAAAGAAGATTGAAGAGATATTCGGTGAAATTATCGTAGAGGAAGTGAGAAAAAATCAAGGTGAAAGGAAGCGGAAAGAAAGGGAAAGAAAAACTCAAGTAGATTCACAGAAGATTATAGTGATAGGGGGAACCTCAATAAACAGAGTTAGACTGTGAAGTCAGAGCAGAGGGAAAAAGCAAGTGAGACTACAGGATGGATTGTGACGATGGAAAAAGTAAAGCCATTTGCAGGGGATGACAACTGGATGTGACGTCTAGCGAAAGTATAACGCCGAGTCGTGTTCACGATGATGGTACGGGCACAGGAGATTTGGTATGCAGTTATTAGTGCTGGGTTGCGCGGAGTAAGTAGGTTGTTTCACCCTAGTCGATGTCCCGGCCGGATGAGCGCGAACCGTCACCCGCTGCGTGCCTGTCCAACCTCTTCTTCAAGCCGTCAAGAGGCTGTGCGTTCCAGTGGCCGCAAACTTTCAGTGAGGAAAAATGTCAAGGCACACGGGTTTTTTCCGTTTATGGGCGTATATATTTGGGTTACCACGAGGATCGCCACAGTTGCCCTTCGCAATATTCCATCGCTCGGACCAATTAGCATTTTGGAAGCCATTGTCAGGTCTCCATGTAACCTACAGTAGCTGGGAGAAAACCCGCACATCCTTCAGCTTATCCTCATGGGGTTTTCGCCTCATTGTCACAGTACCTTCTTCTCTAGCCTCTGGACTATCTCTAGGATGATGGCATCTCTCTCCAGTCGTGGCGGACCATTAACATCGTGGACCTCAAAGTGATGTCGTAGGTAGTTCTTTCATAGCTTAAGGAAGGGTTCTGGAGTGAAGGCACCTAACTGTCTTGGTATGAGGTGCGTTACCGAATAGGCTGTGGAGGCTCTGGATAAGTAAAGGCTTCTGACTTGTCAGTCAGTACTAGTCCCACGTCTGTCTCTGTGGTGGTGTGAGAAAGTTGAGTCCACAGAGAGAGCGGGATACTTTTTGAGGAAGGGTGCGGAGAAACACGCTCTGGCATTTATCCAAGTTACATCCCTATCCGTTATCATTTGTCCGCCCCTGCAGTAGTTTGAAATCGCTCTGCGGAGCACCTGATTCCGCTCCAGGTTTTACGGCTGCCTATAGCTTGACATTACAGGCATGAAGTGAAATAAAGGGAGCCGAGACTCAGTGGGAGGTCATTCACAAAAGTGAGAACAGCAGCTGGCCCAGAACTGCTCTTTATGACACGTTGGATGAATCTATCCTCCACGTCGAGAGATTCCTATTGACTTTTGCGCAGGATCCTCTGCCGTCTAAATGGTCCTGCAGCCAGAAGAGCACCTGATCTTTAATTCCCAACCCTGATATTTTGCGAATGAGGATGGTATGTGACTGTCTGAAGTACTAACCAAAACCAGGAGAATCGTATGGACATGGATGCGGTGGTCGCCTAGTACTCTTATCTTGTCGAAGTATGCCCTTATATGGTCGTTCACCGAGCTCCATTAGTCTTGGTAGCGCTGATCGAATCGCTGTGGGTTGGCGGCACTCCTGGCTCTGCCTTTCTCCTCCTTTAAATATGGGGGACAGAATAGCAACGTTTCCCCTGCCAAGGGAGCATGTGTTTGCCCACGGAGTGTTGAAACGGATTACGCAGTGGGTCACATAAGTGACCCACATACTGTTTCAATACAGACGACCAGATGTCGTCGCATCTGGGCATTTTCCCGCGCGAAGCTTTCACTGTTTTTCGAGGACCATAGCAAAGGTTATCTGTATCCCATATGATTCTTCTGCATAAAGCGGTGATTAAGGTTGCTCAAACAGTTGAAGATTTCGGTTGGATGGTGGAATATTTAGCTGTGTGTCGAAGGTAGAGCTAAAGGGCTTAGGCGGTCTCCAGTTCAGAGAAATTCTCCCCATTCAGGCCCTTCATAACGCAGGCCCAGTGGCCGCAGGGTTTTCATACCTCCATGAATCAATGTAGGTTATTGGGGGTTCGCTTCAGGCTTCTGGGTAAGGTTTGTCTGTAAAGACCTCCGTTCCACCTGACTGGGATGTTGGATCGACCCCATAGAGGTATATATTCCCCATGATCTGACTCTCTTCTGGAAATCATTCATTTATGCCATGCTTCTCTCTCAATTTTAGAGAGGCTTTCAGCACCTAGTTTGAGCCACGAGTTTCACTTCTTTTGAGTCGTTATGACTGCTGGGACGTTTACAGAGATAACCCCTTTAACGATACCCGTTAGCAGTTCCCAGTGTTGATTAATCGACAGGGTAATCCACTCCTAGGGATGTGGTGCTGTCGACAGATATTGGTTCATCGCCACTTAGTTTGTCTTGCCGTGGTTAAGGCGGGGAGGAGATCCTTCCCGTGGTAGATGTTCACTGAGCTCAATATCGAACACCGCCATACTGTGATCACTGCTATCGATGGAGTTTGAACCTGAGACTTTTGCTGGCAGATGGTCGCTGGTAACAAGATAGTTCAGTTTGGATGATTTTCCACCTGACCGGCAGCGAGTGTCACCGCCAGCATCCTTATGTAGCCCAGCCTCTTTGATGGTGCTGAGTAGGTTCCGGTGTCACTTACATTTTAAGGCTGCCGTTTCCCGCTCAAGATTCATAGCCGAGGCATTAAAATCCTTCACAATGATGACCTAGTCGCATCCCGTAGATATCGTTCTGGATATTACTTCGTGAAGTTTCCAATGCCGTTCCACTTTGCCGGTCGAAGTTCTGTAGACTCCCTGTCCCTTCAGGCACTTGGTGAGCTCAGCTGTAAAGCGGAGCCAGACAAAGTCTAGGAGCTCTGATCGCAAAGTTTCATCGCCTTGTTCACTTTCGGGCGGTTGCTCATAAACACTACTACTTCGTCTCCCCTTTTTGTGTCCCCTGTCTCTCCTGAACAGGCGTGAACCGCCTGTGTCCGGGGGTAACCAAGTTTCTGTCAGAATTACGATCCTCTGAACAAGGTAGAGATGGAGAGATCATCGTTCCGCCATCTTACCACCAAACACTCATGCACTGCTGTTAAGACACTTACAGATGCTCTTAAAGACATGAAGTGTATTCATGATAGCGGACTGTACAGGGTCATGCGCAGTGGCGAACGTTGTTACCGGCCAACCATTCACAGCGAAGACGCCCCACCCATGTTTCTTCCAGCAATGGCTTCTGAGGGTATTATAAAGTTAAGGTCAGTTAGAACGTCCTGTCTATTTAAAGCAGCGATCGCTTCAGAATGAAGAGGGACTGTCGTTTTCTGTTATTGCAGTGTTCTAGACCGGTTTTCACAACAGAAAATGTTACCGATGGTGTTGTTCCCTGCTTTGCTCCAAATTTGCAGCATTTTGGTCAGAAGCTCTGGGCACCCGAAGTTAATGACCATCAATCCGCGCGGTGCCAGCGTCGTCGGCTGTGGGTGAACTGGAAGCCGGAAGACCTCTGCCGCCGCTGCCTCACTTAATCCTCTCCTTGCTGGTAACCACTGGCCCTGTTTGACATCATGAGTAATAACAGTAATATTTATTTCTGAATATACAGGCACATACCATTTTTACCGGCATGAATAAGTTCGTGTACAAATTACATTCATCTTCATGGAAGGTAATCTGAATCCCTACCCGTTGTCGCTAGAAGATATGTGCTGCATGTTCATATAATGAAATATCCCGGCAGAGTAAGTGTGCAGAAAATTTACAAGTTGGACAAGTGGAAGTATTGT